AACAAGTAAGGTTACAAAAAGTGTTCACTGTCTAAGGTCGCTCTAGTTACCTACTATCTTAAAAGAAGTAGATATAGGATAACAGTACGTAGTCCTAGTACAACTAGTGTACAATCTCTTTTCCAAATACTATGTAGGGTATTGTGGGATGGGTTGTCTATATAATTTTTTAGGGCCTCCATTGGCAAAGGATCACATGGCCATGTGGCCTCCTTATTTTCTGCTATTTGTTTTAATAATTTCCGAGCTAGGTTTTGAATATTAAAATTAAGTGTTGGTTCTTTAAACCCTTTTGTTTAATGATAGTGACTAATTGCAGTTAAGTAAAATCTTGGGCTTGCTAATCTCTCGATTAAGTTTTTCCATATTAAAAATATTAGGATTGTTCCTGGTTCTGCTGGGCATGTAATTATTTCATGAAGTTTACAGAAGGCATTAAACTCTCCCCACAGATAATGTAAACATTTTTTGTATAATGAACTTGGTATTAAAACTTTGTTTACTTTCGATAATAACAAGTTTAAAAATAAATTTTTATGGCTTGGAACTTCCAATTTGGATTTTTCCAAGGTTCTGGTGGCAAGTTCCTACATTGACTTGGCATAAAGCTTTGGGTTGCAGAGAGGAGATCCATTGTCTTGGTTCTTTGTTGGAGGAGGATGGACCACCATGGTGCAGAGGGCCAAACTGAGGTTATTAATGTTATTGTGACCCTGCACTGCATATTTTGTTTGAACACTTTGTAAATTAGGTCCAGAGGGAGCAAACATAGTTGTTTTCGTTTTCACCATTTTGTGTAAAGCAACCTACTGCTTTCATCCCTGGGTAGTGAAACTGACTGTTGAACTAGCCAACTTTTTTTGAATAGTAACTTGCCATCCAGTCTATTAAAAATGGTCCTCATCTTTGATTTATAAACTTGAAAAGCTCTTGAGAGTGTGTCCAATCCGTTTTGTCGAATGAATGTGTTAGCTTGTCTGCTGGGTTTAATTGCGAAGGTACCCATAGGAATTCTTGGATTCTGATGTCATGTAACTCACAGAAGTTCCATACTTCTCTCATTATTTCCTTCTGCCAAGGTCTTTTCTCTTCTGATTGTCTATAAAAACTGTCACGTAATGATTTGCAATGATCAGAGTGAATGATTTGAGGCAAAGGAGAGTTGCTATAGACTCTAGAACTACAATATCTGTATGCTTGTGGCAACGATCCCAATTTCCAAATGCCCGTTTTTTCCCTAAAACCGCAGACCAACTGGTTGTAGATACATCTACAAATAGCACTATTACTTGTGCAGGCTTTCAAGCCAAACTTTCATTCTTTTCTTTTAAATTTTTTATAGTCCAGTTTATATCTATGATTGCTTGGGATATTAGTTGTATCGGAGTATCCCATTCTTAGGACTTTCAGTTCTCTGCATCTATTATTAAGTAAAATTCTAAGCACTAAACTTTCACATACTTGAAGGCTTTGTTTAAGCTTATTAATTTGCTAGTAGTTGAGAAGAGGTAACGAGCTGTAAGTGGCCTTTTGGATAAAAGTTCCTTTAGGTCAGATGATACTTCCTTTATTTTTGTTTCTGGGACAGTAACATTTCCTAAAACTGTATCCAATATGAACCCATAATATTTTGCTTTTTGTGTAGGTTCTTGATGTCCTTTTTCGGCTAAGATGAACCTGCAATCCCTTAAATTCTTTAATATTACTAGGTCTCTTATTTTTAATAATGTTTCCTGACTTGGGTAGGCAACCCAAATGTCATCGACATGGTTCTCACAAAATATTCTGCAGGACCTCCAATGCCCTATTAGAGCTCTCATAACTTTTGAAAATATTCATACTACTTGACTTAGGCCAAACAGTAATACGTGATAATGATACCAATTTGTTCTGATTACAAAACCTAATAACCTTTGTGCTTTTTCTTCCATTAATATATGATGATAACCTTCTTTCAGGTCTAATACTATAATCTACCAATTTCATCCTACTATTCTTAAAAAAGTCTAGAACCCCTCAAATTTGAATGACTTTACAGGTAATATTTTGTTTAGTTGTCTTAGATCGATGATCAAACACCATTTCTTTGGACCTGACTTTGACGCCAAGAAAATTGGACTTACCTTTAGTAATTGTTTTGGTCTTTCTGTTGAATTCATGACAAGCACTATTGCCTTTATTTCTAATAAATGATTCATTTCCGTCTGCAACCAAGACTGTTGGTCCTGTGTAAGAGGATATTGGGGTGGGTCTGGTTGCCTCATTAAATTTACCAATCCTTTTGGGAATAAGGGAATTCCATCCTTTAATTATTTGATTATCAGGCTTGGTGGTTTCACACTTTCTATCCAATACCTTACATGTTCCTTCATATGAATTCGACCCACCACTGGTATTAACTGTTGGGCCTGAGTGTAGTCACTCATACTTTGTGTCATTGCACCCTCTACTCTCATATTTATTTCTGTATGCCGCATATCCCTTTGACTTATATTCATAGCATTGGTATTGTTGTTGGTCAGGGACTTTATTGAGATCAGAGGCACAGGTTCTCGCAAAGTGGCCATAGCCTCCACAAATATAACATTTATTTTGCAATTTGATGTTGTTTTGAGACTGATAGTTGGGATGAAAAAACTTATTTCAAAAATCATTTTGATATTTATTATAATAACTTAGTTGATTATTATTTTTTCTCTGTAAGTAACTAGAACTTTTTCCCATACTGTATGTCTTGTGTCGCTTATTGCTTTTCACATCTACAATAGCTTTCATTTTCTCAATTAATGAATCTTTACCTTTCAACCAATCGTCTTGTGTGTCGGGTAGGGCTGATGCAATTTCCCAACTAAAACCCTCTGCTACTTGCAATGTGAACATTCTATTTTCTATTTGCTCCTTTACTGTACTTAAATGATTTGTAATATTATCTGCTGTCAGAGATTCCATTGCTAAATCGAGCTCTTTTCCTATGGATCTCAATGTGTTATACTCATGCTGATCACATGCTTTGTCAAATTTATGCTTTGGCCAGGCATCTTTTATATCCACTTTTTGCTGTGTCTCCTGAACTTGAAGTGTTACTGTGTTTAATTTGTTGTCAAAATACAACATTGCATTTTCTGACTTTTTAAATCCTAGTAATAATTTCTCTTCCAAAAGGTCTGGAGTGCCATTGCTTTTGTGTAACTTCCTTTTCTTTGTTAATTTATTTGTTTGCGTTTTTGGGTCTTCTTGAAGTTCTTCATCATGTGAACCAGTTTTTGAAGAGGTATTTCTAGCACATTCAGTGCTTTTCCTTGCCAACTCTCTCAAGGTTTGTAAGTCCTTATCGAATATATCTGAGGCTTCTGAATGATAACTGGAAGCTACTGAATCTATATCAACCACATTCTCTCTTGTGGTCTCTAGATTTCCTAACATTTCACCGTTTTCTCTGCAACCCTCATACCGTGGGTATTCCTTTATTCTTTGAACGAGGTCTGTTTTATTTCCTTCCGATGATATACCTAGACTACGGCAAATGTCTGCCAAGTCGTTTTTCGATAGGTTTGAATCCGACATAAGATACCACGACTAAATGACCAGGGACTAAAACGATAAAGCCAGATAATTATAATCGGGCAGTGAAAGAAACAAGCACTTCTGACCATCGCTTATTTCTGCTTCATTAAATTCTCCCATTCTAGTTTCCTTATTTACTAAATTCATACAATTCTTTATTTTGTCATGTGTCTTTGATTAGGACGATCCTCACGATAATAACACTAACGCTGACTACGTCAGCTCACGTGTCAATCCATCTTTTAATAACTTTTACTTTGAATCTAATTTTCCATTGGTTGAACTTAAATTTGAAAGAGAAAACATTAAACCGACAAAGGAAATGAAAACAGCGGTAGTCAATGCTTTAAATGATAAGAGGCCATACAGAAAATTAATTGAAGTATTCGATACATTTGGTTATTTATTGTCTCAAGAACTATTCTTGGTCAAAAATTATATAGATCATGTAATATACGAGAGAAAACAGATCTTTTCAGTCAACAACTAGAAATCGAAAAGAATTATTCATCAGAGATTTTTGATTTATGGGAAGATTATGCTGAATTTGATGAAAAGTACTTGATGTCAATAAATGGGGAAGCTGTTAGAAAAACTGATATTGAAAAATGGTTAAATAAACATTTAAAGCAGGATTTTAAATTATTAAGGATAATTTACCGGAGTAAATTACTTCCATTATATGAAATTTTTGGTGAACCGATTAGCCCCCAAATTAAATCAGTTTTAGGAATAGACAATCTTACGAAAATTCTTATGACAGGGATTGTACAAATTTATGAAAATATTAAATATTATAACGTAGACTTTCCCTTTCATTTAGGAAGTTGTAATTATCATATTTTTGCGAAGGTAACTAAATCTAATAAAGAATCATTTGATGTGATTGATAAAACTATTGTAAGAATACGATCCGGTAATCATACTGGTTTTTTCACAATAATTGAAAAGTTTGATGAGATCAAGTAAGTAAAAAATAAGCATTATTTAGTATAAGTACAATAATCATTAATATTTATTTTTATACCTTTAACAGTGATATAAACCCAGAAGACTTACAAATTATGTGGATGCTAGTTGGATTTCCTGATGAAATCAACTTTTATAGTCTATATACACGAGAACTATCTATACTTAGTATGGAATATCAAGATATTGATAATGACAAAACAAGCGTATTAGTAGATGTTCCAGAAAATTTACCAGAAAACTCTAGAATAGTTGTATCATTTGAATACCCTTTGTCAAGCGATTATTTAATAACCAAGAATAATAAAATCGAATTAAAATTAGATTCTAATCTATATGATAATACCTACCTTGAGGGTATGGATTTAAAACCTGATAATGGCCCTGAAAACGAATTTGAAGCTGATGAAGTTGAAAGTGGTTCTGAAAGCGATGAAGTTGAAAGTGGATTTGGAATTGAAAGTGAATTTTCAAGTATCGATACTGAATATAAGATTATCTTTCCTTTTTATTCATATATTTTTACTTTTAACAAAGAATTTATAGAAGCAGATATATCAACTAGTAAATGTAAATTTATATATTTGAAGGCAATTGGTTCATTAATCAGCTGAAGATTTACATATGTAGTGACTATTGTAGGAAAATTTTTTAGTTTATTAATTATATTTTTCTTTTTTCAATATCTCATTCCTTATCACAGTAAAGCCTCCATAAGTGCGCCTCTTTAAATGCAAACACAAATTTGGACCTAACTATAATGTGACCTTCTTATTATCCTCCAAACGCACATTGTTAAAAATTTTTACCATATCTACTTAATTTATTTTTTATTTTATATATAACTATTACATTTTACTGCTCCACAACATATGCCCTGCTCATATCTATATTCTATATGGCTATATTCTATATGGCAGAATGACCAAAATATTTATTGTGATCGAATGGACTAGTGTCAAAATGACTCGCTAATAACAAAACGACGTTTACAACTGTTGCCATGCCCATTAACAGCTTCAGTATCTCAACCTTCACCATTTTTTATGCGTACATATAGAAAATACTTTTCCTCTAATAATATAGAAATTGAATTCTGATTTTACAAATCGTAAACATTTTAAGTTTATTTTTGAATATCTTTAGAATTTTTAGTCGGGATGAGGGGAGAGAATTGAAAGTATTACTCTACGAAATTTCAGTTCCCGGTTCAACAGATCCTGATTTGCGTTCAGCATCCTGGAGGTTGGGATACTGAAAGCGTGGTTTATATATAATAGTTGGCTTTCAATAGTTTGCTTTAATAAAAATATATTATTTGGCTTCTAATAAATTAAATTACTTGAATCTGTTAGAGAATAAGAATTATAAAATTACCTGTCATCGTATTGTAAGAAAACATATATAAAACATCGTAAAGTTTTTTCTTTAGTTAAAATGCAGAAACGCATAAGAACTTATACAGCTAATGATAGGTGATGGACTTCCCGAATCATTAATAATTAATATTGATCGGGCTATTAACTAATAATGATTTAGATGTATGAAAAACGAAAGGTTTCTAATACTTTTGTACAATGTTTTCTTAAATAATTGATCCAGTGAATGCTTAAAATTATTGCCCTGAAAAAGTTTTTTTTTTATTATTTTTTACAACCTATTTTATCGACACAATTTTTTGATAGACTGCAGGAGTTTAAATTTATTGGTCAAATAAATGATATCTATATTTATTAATCAAAATGTCACATACTAAATAATCTAATTGGCATAAAAATAAAAAAATAACGAACTTACACGAGTCATTTAAATGGTCAAACCTAAAGTGCTGTGTATATTTACGATCAAATCAAAAATGATAAGCGCGTTGAAATAAAATAATTCTATAACCGTTTTGTTTGCAGAAATTTCATTGAACTAAATAGTGTGAACTATTTAAGTTTTTAACCTTTGCCAGACTGAGGGATCTTTTTCAAATTTACGTCAGGTTGACAAAATAACGCCCACCTGTGCGTTATTTTGAGTATATGCGCGCTAATTAGAATACACGCATGGGCGTTATTTCAAGAGAATGAATGATTTTGTTAATAGCCTTTCTTTTCTAAGGAACAACAATGTATGCATTATATATGTTGTAAGTGGAAACGGAATTTTTATACCAGGTGTTTGATAAGTCCTTAAACAGGACCTTTTTTTTTAATCACTAAGCAAGTATATGATACTATGGTGCGAATAGTAGTTTCCTAAATGCAACCATAACAATTTATAAAATTAAATACTACTGTACTAGGAAAATGCATAGCATTGATCCGGAGCATATCATATGAAGATTATCTTATCGCACGTAATTTAGAAATTTTTGTCCGTTCTGCACCATGTTCAGATTACATTTCTGATGTAATCTTCATAATGTTCATGCAGATACATCAAAAACGTGATTTTGTATCACTTTGCGTAGACATTAAGGGTTATTAAATGCTTTATCTTTTTTAGATAGTTACCATTTTTATTGTTTCGATTAATTGGCTATGGGAATGAAGTGAAAGCCTTCAAGCCAAGTGTTGGCATTTGGACTATGTCCAATCAAAATTTCATATGGACATATAAAATTTTATATGTCCAAATTCGCCCAGTTGCCAACACTGATTCAAGCATACTCTAACAGCTAATTAATTTTTGAGATGTCTGGTTCCCGGTTCGACAGAGCCTGGTTTAGGTTCAATTTCTGGATGTCCAATCAAATCGTAAATTTTTATGAGGCAAAAAAAAAAAAGAAAAATACTTATTGACTTCGACTTAATTAAATATCGCTGTTGATGAACTATTCTTTGTTGTATTTTTTAATGGTAAACTTGTAACCTTTATTTATTTGTGATCAATTTCAAAGAAACCATTAAAAAACTCGAGAACTATAAGATCATAAGGTTGTAAGCAAGAATTTCAAATATTAAAAAAATCATACAATATAATGGTTAGCTTTTGTTAAACATTTCTTTATTAAGAACTAGAATTGAATGATTGAATGGTGCTTATAACGTTTTTTACGCGTTAGATGAACAGATCTATTCTTAATTTGAAATGACTTGATTATATAATACTTCACATTTGTCCTTTAAAATAAATGATATTCTAAGGTTATGATAAATTACTGAATAAATACTATCATGAATTGATTTTACAATAATCATAAGAATAATGAATCAATAAATATTTATGTAATTAATTTGATAAATATAAAACCAGTGAATAATAATAAAAAGGTAAAAGAATTAGGAGAGTTATTCGCAGCTGCACTTGTTTTTGTATTTGTAGGTGGTTTGATTGAAGAACATTGAATAGAAGTGTCCTAAACACATAATTATAATTAGAATAATTAGCAATAAAATAATTTAAGTAAGAAATTTGAACAATTTATAATTAATAATAATAAACTCACCGTTAAAGCAACCGATGCATCAGAACAATTACTGGGACTACTAAGTTTTATAAGTTCGCTTTTCGCGACGTTTCTTAACCAAACTCTCTTATAATCAGTCGTGGGTAAATTAGGATTGATGACATTCATCATATCCTCTAAAACATTATCAGCTAATAAAACAGCACTTTCAAACCAATCCCTTCCATCACCTGGGCTAGTTACACCATCTTCTCTGTAAATAGCACTATTTTTAACAAATTTATATTGTACATCATTAGCATTTAGATTGAAGTTGGTGTAAACTTCAGAAATATCACGAGCAATAAAAGTTTCATCAATTAAAATATCAACATTTGCAATAGCAGAAAGGAACGAGGAACTTGTAGAATATGAAAGCGGGGTAGTATTAAAATAGATGCCACCAGCATTTTCGGTCAAAATCTTTTTGTAAGGGGCATCAGTGATTGACCAAGAAGCAGTATTATTATTAAAAGATGCTGGAGCAATGTAGGAAACCCAAGCTACGGTAGGAGGATTGTTAGAAGAGGGTAATTTTTTTAAACAGTTGTAGTTGTCACTTATTTGGTTATAAATCGTGTTAGCTTTATCTTCAAGATTGAAAAAGACCGAATAAAATTTTATCCACTCTGCTCTGTTAAGTAGACCAGGATCATTAACGGTAGAAATACCGATTGTTTTTGGATTGGAAAGATTGAACGTTGAATCGAATACGGCATCAACTTTTGAAAGTTGTTGATTTTGGAGGGTCATGTTTGTCGCAGAAATTACAGTCAAATTAAGAGCCTGAAGACAAGGTGAAGAAGATGCAGACTCAGATCCTAATTCGGTAATATGGGATCTAAGACCAAGGACCTAAAAATTCATTAAAGAAAATGATATTATTAATTGATTAATTGGCTAATTTAACCTTGAATTATTATAAAGAATGATCATAAAATGTATAATTTTTCTTACCTCGAGAAAAGGTACAACACTGGTGTCCATGATTGCAACATTATTGAGAGATATATTAAAGACTTTTGTGCCAGCTGGTAAACCAGTTGGAATAGGAGTTCCACATTGAACAAGAGCAAAAGTTTCTTTGGAATTGGTATTTGTGACAAGTTTATAGTTGTTATTATACTTTATTGTGAATAAAGAGGCAGTAGTAACTATTTAAAAGAATTAATGATGAAAAGAAATAAAATTAATAAAAGTTCATTCATTTCATTCAATTGAATATTAATATTTATCTTTTGTAATTTAATAATTACCTGTAACCTTGGAAGGAAAATAGTCGACATCACTACTAAAGGTTTGCACGCAATTTCCAGGGGACAAATTTTCAGCGGCATTACTTTTGACTATAAGAAACAAGAATATAAAAACTCGAATAAATCGAACGTAAAATTGATTATAATCAGACATTCTATAAATCATGCAAGAGTAAAGCAAAATACTAATTTCAATGCATCTATGATATTTTGTCCTGCGTAACCATTTTATATGCTAACGCCAATTTTTTATTCTTATGTACGTACGCACATATGCATGTATTTTATTTGTTACAATAATTAACCATGAAATTCAGTTTATTTGTATATATATACAACATGAGCGTAGGTTAATCCGGAATTAGCATTAGGTTAGATGATCGATTTTTTTTTCTCATCAGACGCCACAAGTCAATTGCAAAATTTGAGTTTGGTTAGACAATCTCTTTTCTGGAGATATGTACGCATTTACTAATTCGCGAATAGTTATGACTGCATTAAGCTTCATGTATCGACGGAAAATTACATTTATTAAGAACAAATTTACTTGAATATGACCATTTTTAGAAATATACTTGGCAAGTCTCTTTATCTTTACATTGTCAATTTTGATCTTTTCTTAGCATGGATTCTTACTTTTTTTTACGTAATCAACATTTCTTCAACTGGATTACAACCGGTTATTATTGAATCGTATGACCATAATTTAACTTTTCCATTTTTGGTAAGTGTAATTAATTTTTTGTACACATATTAAGGAAAAAAAAAAACTGTTTGTAAACATTTACTAATATACTATCAACGAAATTATATCCAATAACTTTATAGTGCCAAGACTTTCACCTTTTGTCAGCAGGATATGTAAGGTCTTCAAGTTTCTGAGTTAAATTTTAGCTTCTATGATTCATAATCACAATTTCTATAATCAAACGTTCTCAATGAATCTGATGAATTTCGGGTTCTATATAATTAAACAAAACATAAATTGTTATTCGGAGAGAAACGGGATTTAATAAACCAAAATTTTGTATGTACTATGTCCACTGCTATATATAGGTTAGGCGATTGCCAGTATTTACCAATAGAAACTTACGGGGAAAAATCCCCAAAAACAGAATATAAATACGAGCCAAATTAAGCCGTCACATGTTGCGAGCGTATGGGCTGGCAGAAATTTAATTTTACGTATCAGGCCTTCATAAGTTTTATTTACATCATCTAAATCAATAATACTATTAAGTAACGAAAATTTGTTAAATTCATAGTCAGATAAATGAATTATTGGCTGCGTAGCATTACAATAACGGTATTGTCCGGATGCCCTAATTTCGCCTCAAGCTCTGATTGGACATCTAAAGTAAATCGCGTCACTTTAGCACTGTCACAAAATCCAAAAAAAAAAGAAAATTTGGCAACGAAACTGCCTTCATCATTATCATTACGTATTGCTATAATGAATGTTCAAGTGTTTCGGTCTGTTTTCTAAAATTTTAATATTTAAAGCATTTTATGGTTCGAATTGGGGGTTTTTTTAAAAGATCTTTAGACCAACTGTTACACGAAGTTTTGATTAAGTCAACTGTATAACTATACACAATTAAACTACGATGCACTCCACTTACACAGGTAGGACAATAAATCTTTTTGACAAAGTCTTCCTTGAGTGAAATACTCGTAAAAAAAGATTTATTGTTCTACATGTGTTAGTCACATCAAATCCTAATAAATAATACTTTAAAGTTATGCAACTTTAAATTATAATATATTTCGAATATTGCTTTATTAGTTTGTTATTTGAATTAAAATCTTTAAATAAAAAAGGTTTAATATAATTTTTTTAAAGTTAATAATTTATTTGATGTGACTAAGTAATTCGCATTATAGCAATGTAATATGATTGCGAGACTTGTGTTAAAAAGCTAAGCGTAATGATGAGTCTAACATTCGCAAAAATATTATCCAATTATCGATGATCGCATATTGAATAAAATTCAACTCAGTTTACTTAACATTTTTGTAGCTATGCATTACTTATGATTATATCATCCGTTATATTATAAATTTGTCTTCCGAAAATTATAGTTTTTTACCATAGTTGATATTTGAAAATCAATTGGCCTACATTACATTAATGTAGGTAGATCACCCGAGCGGTTGCGTTACGAGCATTACTGCATATTTTAAATTTCAGCAAATTAAATTCATGTAATCTCTGCATTACAAAAGTTTTGACCAGCATTGATTTCGTTGTTTGTTCGACCATCTAGCATTTTAATATACGTAAAATTATCATAAATTCTAAGTTACGATTCTAATTTGTAAGATTACACCGAATTACCGTAATTTTACAATCCGACACACGAGCTCCATAGTAATGCCACAAAGAATTGATAGTTTTTCGACTGATTTAAAAACATTGATCTCGATATTATTTTAAAATTTTACATGAAACTCATGATTTGCATTAAATAAAGCAAAATAGAAACTGTTTAAATTTTGTGCCAAAAACTTTACTTAATAATTGAAAATTGTTTACATAGTAAATTGATGTCTTGTTTTTCATTATTTTTATTTTTTATTTTATTTTTATTTTTTTGTATTTGTATGTAGTATGTTTATATAATACCGTAGCAATAAAATGACAAAGCACACAGAATTTGAATTGAAAATTTAAAAGTAAATAAGAAATACAGCTTTGGTTCTATATTTATATTTATAAAAACTATTATAACTCTTAAAAAGCATACAAAATCAACTTTAAAGATTAAGCAAAAGTAAAGAATGCAAATTCACCTATATATAATCAAAATTAATATTAAAGTCATATATATTTGAATTTAATTACTCAAGCAACAAGATAGCTAAGATGATCCAAATTGTTTAAAGAATGAATTTCTAGTAATAGATTATTTGCAAAATAACCTTTAAGCAAAATTTCTAAATTTAAAAAAAAAATTATGGTTATAATTTTAGTAATACAGAAAAATTTTTTTTTATATGTACATATTTAGGATTTACATTGTATTCTCATAACATAAAATTCTAGCTTTTGATTTAAATTATAAAATTTTTATTTTTAAAAAATTAACCCGGAAATATATATAGTAAATAACTTGTAAAATTTTCCAATAAATATTTATAAAAGCTAATCCGGATAGATAAAAAAAATCAAATCAAAAAGAATTAAGAAAGCAAACTTAATGGAAAATTCATGAATGATCTGTTTAATTTCTTCATTTGAAAAATTTTCTTTAATATGAACCTCTTAAATCTTTCTGGTTGTGCATGAATATATTGTTGTTTTCATGTCAGCGAGAGTAATATGTAATGTTATAACTATGATTTAAAAATTATAATCAATTCAAAAAAATTGATAATTTGGTTTTATTTCGCTTTGCAAAATTCTGTGATCCTCTCTTGATTATTAATATATATAAAATGTTTGTGATTGCAATTGCTAAAGATGGCCAATTTATAATAAATCTGAACTATATTTATAATAAATCTGAACTATATTTATAATAAATCTGAACTGTATTTATAATAAATCTGAGCTATGTTTATAATAAATGGGTCAGCTTTAGTAATCCCAGTCACGATGATTTTTAATAAACATTGGTAATCAAGGGTTGTAAACCATTTCGCAAAACGCAATAAAATCCGATTATCGATCAAATCAATCAAAATAGAAATCAATCCCTACCTCTTGTACAGTCGCGCATAACCAGAGTTGGTATTGGAAAATTCAATTAAACATATGTTCAATTACATAAATTGAACATATGTCCAATTGTCCAATAATTTTATTGGATAAACCTTAGTAATATTAAAAGGAAAAATTTACTTTTTCTAATGCCTTTACTATCTAGAAGCTAGGTTTTAATTATTTTTGTTTTTAATTTAAATTTAGATCACAACTCTGATCATGTTTCCTGTTGCGCATTACTAAGATAACTCTAAAAGTGACATTAAAATTATAAGGCAATCAATTATAGTTTTGCTATATTAGGTTTTTTCATTTATGTTTATATATTGCTTCGCAACATTTATTCATTTGCTCGTTGAACCAAATTATCATTATTTGGCAATTATATATATATATATATATATTGCGTCCAATAATAATAATGTCCAATTAAACTATTTGGACAAATTGGACATTGTCCAAATGTTCAATATTATAACATGTCATCTCTGTGCATAACAGATAATAAATTTAAAACAAGAAAATCAACTCTATTAAATTTTTTTCAAAATCAGTTAAACCGTTCTAATTTGTTATTATTGTTTTTTTCTTAAATCCTAATGCTTGTTTCTCTTATAGAGCACACAAAGTATAGGCAAAAATAATTTTTTGTTGTTGACACGAATATGATCTATTCTGATCAAGGTTGATCAAGAAATTTACTAATGACTAGGGTGAGAATCGATTCTAAAAATTAAATCGATGATCGAATTCTAAACTTTTATAGTTATTTCTTGTATTGAGTTTCCCATTTAGATTCTGTTTTTTTATTGTTTAATACTGTAAATTATTTAGTTATGAAGCAATGTACAAAGTTTTTTTTGGTAGCTTTAAAGTTACATCAGAACTCAATTAAATAGAATCTTCAGCATTTTACAACAGAATTTTGTGTCCTAAAACAGACTATATAAATAATAATTGAAATAATCTAGTTGTAGCCGGCGGGGCAATTACCGGATCGCAATTGAGCAATGAAATCAAAACACACGCTAAAGTTAAGTATCATTACATTCATGGTTGGAGTTAAATTATGGTTAGATTAGGGCTTAATTTATAGTAAAATTCGCAAGGAATTTTTTTCAATTAAACATAAAATGTGGTTCCATAGACGAGATTTTGAGCTATTTGCGAATTTTTGAAAAATTTCAATGTTTTCTGCGTTTTCGGATTACACAAACGTTACACCTGATCCAGTGATGTGATTGGCCAATTGCAACCCAGTGACGGCGACAAATAGATTCGCTCATAATAATAAATACTATACAACAAAGCACAACTATTATAAAATGGTTAAATACAAACTATAAGCTTAATGCTTTAATATCATCATATGATTTAATAACATAAGATAGATGCATGATGATATTACGTGAAACCAGGAACAGGAGATATGAAGAGTATCAATATTGCATTTATGGTGTTCCAAGTCACTTCGCATCAAATGAGCTAAATCTGAGGTATATACAGACATTTTTTAGCTAATTAGGATATGTTATATACTAATTCTGATTGGATAAAAAAAAAAAGTAAAATAATATTTTATTTTTTGTATAAATGCAGAAATTTTGAAAACATAGTAGCTTTAAACACTTATAACTTTAAATCTTAAAATTTTCTTAAAAAAAATCTGACCAATAATTTGAATAGAACTAATGAAAAATAATAATTTTTATCAATAACAATTTTAAAAAATATTTAAAATTTAAGGTTTTATAGATTTTTTTTTAAAAAATACATGATTTTTGATAAGAAATAACTTGGAGCACCATAGTAAATATATAGATTTTCACACCATTAGGCATGTGAAGTATGATGTCAGATTTCTGACATACAAATAAGTTTTTAGAATAATATATAATGTAACATAAACAGAAAGATTTAAAGCAACCATTTGTTTTGTCAAAGTTGTTTATATTGTCAAAATTTTTCCCAAACAATTCATCACCTTTTTAATTCTAACTTAAATATGAATGTTAGTCTTTATAGCAATGAGCTTTAAAGAATGTTGCATTACTTAAATGTGTGTCAGGTTCTTGGTGCAGCGAAAATTATTTAAAGCTTGTTTACGTTAAGGTTATGATAAAGTTTAGGAATTAGAAAGAAGTAGTTTATACGGTAAAATTGTTTAACGAAAACTTTTTTTAGAGCACTAAAGGTGGTTACTTATGCTGATTTTGAGAAACAATTAATTTTTAACAAAATGAAGGTTTATTTTGAATTTTCTTGATCGAGTTTAGTTCTGCCTGATTTTGAAGTCTGATTCATAGTTTAGGAAATTTGCTCCATAAGTAGGATTGGGAGCATGACAAATTTTTGAGATATGCCTCTGGGGCAAAGGGCATGCCTCTCCATGCCTTCTATAAATATATATAACATATATTATCATAATTAGAAATAGTAGACTTTAATTCTAATTGGCCGATTTGATAATTGACCAATTATATAGTAGCACTACATTACATGATAGGGAATGCCTTTTGGTCAAAGGCTCAACCTCGTGCCCCCAACACTAGCCATAAACCCGGCACATATTCAAGACGTGCAAGGATTTTGTTTATGTCACAAACCTGACACACATTTCATGCTGCAAATGCATAACGGTTATTTAATTGCATTGCAGACTTAAAATATCACTTCATTTCTTGTAGGTTACTCAGCACGCCATATTAGAGAAATTTGCATGTCACCTGTTATCCCAATTCATTCATTCTATATTGATTTTTTATTATATATCTTTTTATAAAATATGAATGGTCATTGCTTTGAAAGTAACGTTGCAATTTACGATATATTTAAGAATTTATCCAAACTGCACGTAATATTTTATCAATTTTCTAACTTTATTTAAGGCTTTCAAGAACTTAGATTGCAATACTCTGAATTACAATTACAAAAAATTATTACAGTACGAAATAAACAATTAGAATCGTTTGAATGTGTGAGAATTATATTACCGTTACATATTTATAATATATATATATATAGTAATATATGTAGAATAAATGAGCATTCATATTGTAATACGTGTGCTCGTACAATTAGGTAGAGAAGTCCCGTATACGCGATTTCTAATTATACAACTAAATAGTTCGTAAATAGTGCATCTATTAATAAATATATAAATAAGTAATCATATGAGCTAGGTGCTAGGAAAAGGGCCCTAATTGTCCTTTTATCAGCACCTAGCCTTATACAATGCATATAAAAAGAATATCCAATCAAAAGCCGTATTTGTAGAAGTTTGTCTGTTTGCTAATTAATTCAATTTAATTTTACATTATTTATACATTATAGAGTACTTTAAAAAAAAACCGAAAACCAACTATAATAAAGTAAAAAAAAATATACGTATAAAAGGTTTTAGTAGAGCTATAGGACTTCATGGCCAAAAATAAGATCTAATTCTCGGTTGTTAAAAAAAGTTAGTACACTGTATCCGCTGTATACTAAGTATCGGATTGATGATTGATATCAGTGGGATAATGGGAATTAGCTGGACCAAGAGTATAATTAAAATAATCGTTATAAACATTATCATCAGTATAATTAGCATAAACATTATAAGTAGTATAAGCAGTATATCACGAATAAAGAGTATGACGTGTTATATGTAAATGAAAGTATATAATAAAGGCTTCGAGCCATCCAAGAAAAATAGGATTCAAGCTTGTAATGAAGTTTGACCCTTATAATTCCCTGGTCTTCACTACTTTGTAAAACCTATGATCATAAACATACCACTTGTCAAATCTAACTGCCTCTTATTGACTAAGCCATTTATAGGTTACACAATATATTCATTTGAGAAGTGACTAAAATGCTAATGTCAGTTTGATAGTATCATTTTGATGGTGACTGTGAGATTCAAAATGCTAGTTACCCCCTTTCCTGATTCGAAAGTTTTGTATTAGTGCTTGAAAACTCACTCTTCTCATAATTATATTGTTGAAAAGATACCTTTTTACTAAAGTTGAAATGAATAAGAATTAGCTAAAAGAACTCTTGGATGGCTTAACTACAGTTTTCATCAAAGTCATAACCATTATTACTAATTCCAAGAAGGACTCTAAAGACTAAAGAGAATTGACTTATATGAAGATTGTCTTCTTTTATAAAAATAATAATAAAAATCCTATTGAGTGATTGAAGTCATTTGAAAGGGTTGCTGTGACTAATAATTGGTCTGAGCAGAGAATGTTGAAAATCATGTTCAGATATCTTCAAGGTTTAGCTGCTAACTAGTATAAAGGAAAGAAGGAATAGTTAAAAGAATGGAAGAATAATGATAATCAAGAAAGAAACTTTTATCATGTTTTTTTGGAATTCTTTACTATGTCAGAGAACATTACCATTAGCAGATAAAGTTGAATAGTCTTCAACAACAAAGAATGAGAAGGTCAATGCATATATAGAAAAGTTTAAATGTTTTGTTGTTAGACTAGACCCCAAAAGAGAGTTACCCAACTCCTGTGTTATTAAAATGTTTTTAAGCAGGCTATGTGACAAGACTCTGATCTTTGTAGCTATTTTTGAATATAATACTTTAGAAAAAACCATTGTTAGTGCACAAAGAGTTGAAGTCAGTGAATACTATAATAAGCAAACTCAAAAAAAAGAACATCAAAAGAAGTTAAAAAAAGAATTAGGCAATCTATTCTAGAAAATTGAGCAGATAGTCTTGAATTATGTTGCTCTTAGTAAAAAATGTTCTAGAGAGTCTTATGATAAGAGTAGATAACAGAGTAATAATAGTCAGGAGAAGTGCTATAAAGTTAGAAAGAGGATAATATGCTATAAGGTGGTAAGATTGACCATATTACTTATCATTGTCTATTAGAAAAGACCTCAGGGATTAGTAATAAACACAACTCAGCAACTATATTGAAAAAAGTGTGTCTCATATTAGCAATATATGCTAAGAAGAGGATAAAATATATACTCTGAACAAAAACTGATACTAGTCATATAAGAAAAATAATAAAAAGGTAGTTCAGAGTTGACTAGAATTCAAGTAGAAGAACTATTTAAGAAATTATGATACAGTAAATTTACTACTGTTGGTTAACTTAAAAAAAGACCTTAATGTGATGATAGAAGATGAGTTTGTACCTATAAGGAAATAAAAAAAAAAATATGACCCATCAGTGATTGATAAACTTGTTCTCTATAATATTATAAAAGATATTATAAATGCTTCTGCTAACATCACAATAGGCCAGATGCTTCAGTACTCTAATCAAAGAAAGAATCTGGTCCTAGTTTATAATAACTCTTAGTACCCATACAGGAAGCCAGCCATGTAAAGTTTAAGGATAATAGAAAGATGATAGCAGCACATTTTTATATTAAAATTTGAGGCAACCCAGTTGTAGTAATATTGAACTTTGGGCAGTTATGAATATTATAACAAAAAAATTAGTTAATAAGTTGAAGCTTTGTATATAGTCAAAATCATCTATTATTATAGTTACAGCTATAAGTGCAAATACAAAAGCACAAGACAAAATCAATAATGTAAGAATAATAATTTAAGACACAATAATCTCTAGCACTTTACAGATTATAGAATCATCAGATGAAACCTTACTTTTAGAAACTGATTGGTTTTAAAAAGCCAAAGCACAGCTTTATTTTAACAAATGACAGTTAATTTTGAAGCACCAAGGTTAGACTATAGAGGTGCCTATCTCTTATATTAGTATAAAAAGCTTAAGAAAGCCTAGAAAGAATTATTAGAAGAAAAGTAGTAGTAATACATTCAACAAGTTTACTTATGAGAAGGAAGAATTGGATAAAATTGATGGATACTATATGGTAGAATCTTTTGAAGATAAAATTAACCTATATAGCAACCTGTGGAAATACAAGATTAGGCCAGTAATATACTTAACATTAGTTGAGAATATGCTCATTCAAAAAAAGAAAAAACCCAAACTTATGATAATAGAACAGTTAAAGAAATTCACCTAAGCTGATATTTTAAATAATAAGAAAAAAGAAGAGATTCATATTTTCTTTAAAGAAAAAAGTTGCTTGCTTACTATAAGTCTTGATAAATTAGAAACCACTAGCTTTGTAACTTATCATATAGATACTGGTGAAGCTCAGCTTATAAAGCAGCATTTTTATAGAATGTTCTCTGATAAACAAAAATTATTAGATAAGGAGCTAGAGTTATTAGAAAGACAAAGGATAATTGAAAGGTCAGAAAGTCCATGAGTGTCTCTAGTGATCATCATCTCAAAGAAGAATAACAAGCTATAAATGTATATAAGATTATTGACAGCTAAATTTAATAACAAAAAAAAACATATATCTACTACCATGTATTAATAACTTATTAAAAACATTTAAAAAGGCAAATTGGTTCATCAGTCTGAACCTTAAGAGTAGTTATTGGCAGATATAAATGAATCTATATGATCAAAAGAAGATGTCATTCATAATGAGAAAAGGCTTGTATAAATTCAAAGTGATGCTATTCAAGTTGTGTAGCATATCTGCAATGTTTTAACAGTTAATAGATAAGGTTCTAACAGAATGTATAGGAAAATTTTTAGTAGTATATATTGACAACATTAACATCTACTCTTGAACATTTCAAGAACATCTGAACTACCTGAAGAAAATATTTATTAAATTAAACCTGATCGGATTAAAGATCAATTTAGAAAAATACAATTTTTTTAAGACTGATCTACAGTTCCTAGAACATGTTTTTGGATGTAGTGATATTTAACCTGATGAGATAAAGGTTGACAAAATAAACCACTATTCAGTTTTCAAGACTCTTCATCAACTAAGGGCTTTTATAGAACTAGTATTCTATTATCATCAATTTATTAAGAGCTTTACAACTATTATGCAACCTTTATATAGCTTATTAAGAAGAATGTTAGATACAAATGAACTTTGAACAACAAATTGCCTTCAAAAAATTAAAACATACCTAACTACAGCATCTTTTCTCTAATATTCAAACTTTTCAAAGACATTTTACCTATATACAAATGCATTTGGTACAGGATTAGGTGCAGTATTAGTATAGAAGAAAGAAGACAGCAAGGATAATATGATCTTGTACACCAGTAGAGGGCTGTTATAAGTAAAGAAAAATTATTTAACCATAGAGCAGGAGTGTTTTGTAGTGCTATGAGCCATTGAATATTATCATCATTTACTTTAGGTTTAGGTTATTTGTGCTAATAACTGACCAAGTAGTATTAAAATAACTCTATACATTGAAATTAAATAGATGATAGGCTAGATGGATTATATAGTTGCAGCCCTACAATTATACTATAGAACATCAGGCTGATAAAAAGCATAGTGATGCAAATGCACTTTTGTGGCAATATAACTTTTCAGAAGTCAGTAGTAATAGAATAAAAGTAGATATTAGTGCACAGAAATATAGAAAATAATTACTCTCTTTAGTAAAATATGATGTTGAAGAAGGCCTATATAAGACAGAATTAGATGAATATATTGGTTGGAGTATTGAAAATATAAAACTAACTATTCATCATAACAATGATAAATGAGATGATAGTAAAAAGATTGATAAAGAAACAGAGACCTAGTAAGATTTGGATAAAGAATTTAAAATGTATATAGTAATAAAGAAGGATAGTAAGAACAAAGACATAAAGTTGGAAGAATATATAGAGTTAAAGAATGATTCAACAGAAAGAATGACTGCCATTGATGGAAATAGGCTTGGAATCCAAGATAGTAATCTAAAGTTCCAAAAATTAATAATAGAGTACTATATAGCATTATTCTTCATTTACCTAACTAGGTTCTATAGTAAAGTATACCATGTATATTTCTACTAACCAAATTTGACAATTATGTACTAGAAGTGCTAAATTAATGTAAAACCATCTACTTAGCACAATATTGCAGTTATTGATTGTTAGTGCATAACTCTCAAAATTTGTCATTATTATAAAATTAGATCATTAGTAAAGCATGGCAAGAGTTGGCTCAAAGAATATATTTGTAGAATACAAAAATTAATTTGGAATATACTGAGCCTCTGAATGAAGGTGCAATTAATGCTAATAGAGAGATATAATTAAAAAGAAATAGCAAACCTATAATTGTGAACCTACTTAAAATCAATAATGGGCTCTTAATATTCAACTAGAATTCCAAATTGAAAATTAATAAAGTTAGCCACTGTCAGCAAGAAAATTCATTTAAAAAACATATTAGTTAAAGTCTTAGATGTTAAATAGAAAATCAAATTTGACAATAAATAATATTCAGATCAGGTTGTTAGTGTTCTAGCTGTAGTAAAGAAACTATGAATCCAACACAGTATAATAAGATAAAGCAATACATATACAATCATTATTTATCTCTAACTCTAAATTATGTACAGAAGAATGAAATAATTAGACTAAGTAGAACTCTAAAACTAAAAGACAGGATTCTTTATAAGCTGCATATATATTTTAGATTGATTAATAAGAATAGTACAAAAAACAGAAATTAACACCATTCTGCTGATAACATACAACCATTCAACAAAAGGCCATTTTGAAACAGATACGATATTTAAAAAAATTTGAAGTATATATTATTAGTCTAAAATAGTTGATTATATAAAAGAATACATTAAAGCTTGTAATGAGTGTCAAAGGAGGTGCAAAAATAAAACAAAAGGTCTATTAAACTCCATGCTAGTATCAGCTCTGTTTTATTAGATTGAAATTGACATAATCAGCTACTTACTAATTACTTCAAGATTCAACTATTATATTGTTATAGCCACAAATTACATGACCAAGTGGCCTAAAGCCAAAGCAATTCAGTTTGCAAATACCCAAAAAGTATCCAATTTTATCTTCAATAAAATTATCTCCTGGCACAGATGTTCTGAAAAATTACTGTCAGATCATGACACACATTTTCTTAAACAAGTAGTGAATTGATTACTAGAAAAGTTCCATATTAAGAATTTGTTATCCATTCTGTATCATCTACAGACTTATAGATTAATAGAATGGTTTAACAAAACATTGTATAAAGTCATTGCAAGAACTATAGAAACAGTTAATGAATAGGATTTAGTTATACTAGCAATCTTGTTTGCATACTGAATGATAAGACATTTAATAACAAGAATTATATTATTTTTCTTGGTATATAGATGTTAAGAAAGGTTACTTATAAGACAAAAGAATTAGCTAACAAAACAATAATATAAAGAACAATAGAACTATTAAAAACTTACCCAACATTTATAACTTTGCTAGTGTATAAGTTCAACAAGCACAAATTAAAATAATAAAACAATATGACAGACAAATTCAATTAAGTCTGAAAATTGAAATTAGCAATAAGGTCTTGGTGTATTGTGTATCAATAGAATATTACAAAAGCATAAAATTTGATTCAAAATAGAAAGAAGCATATTATTTATATAAGATACTTCCTAAAAATATATTCAAATTAAGAACTATAACTGAAAACTTTATAGCATCATTTATAAATATTAAATTGCTAAATAAGTCTTACGATTGATGAAGTACTTAAGGAAGAAAATAAACAAATGAATAATTAGTAAAAAAAAAAAAAATTAAAAATAAAATTTTTTTTTAGAAAAAAATATTTTAGAGAAAAGAAAAAAAGAATAAAAATATAAAAAAAAGAAAAAAAGCATAAGAGAACCTTTTAATTAAATATAATTAACTTTATCATGCTGAGGTCAAATAAAATTATCACTAATATCACAGCATATGTGCCTAATGATGTCAATATTACTCTATTGCTATTTAATAAATTATATAATATCATAACTTCAGTGACCTTAACCTATTCATTGTTGTCTCAAACAATGCAAGGAATAGGATCAAGACATTAGTATATGCATACTACATTAGTATGCTCTTTGCTAACATGACCAGTAATCAAAGAATACAAATACATAGGGCATTAACATCACATTATTACCTTACAGCTATAAAGCTTTATGACATTTTTGTTTCTTATGATGTTTGTCAAATTTATAGGATCTTGAAAATGATCTTTTAAGACTTTAGGCAGATGACAAGTAAAAAAGCCTGGCAGCTTGTCTGATGAAGTTTGTGGGACTCACATTAAGTTAAAAAGAAATGTAAGCAGTAGAATAGTAATACCAGAAGCCTGTTTGATTAAATAATTAGTATGGCACAATAATGGATTAATGGCTATATTAATTATTTACTTTAAATAAGTGTATCAGCAGTATACACTGTATTCATTGTATACTTAATGTTAGGTGAATAGTTGATATTAGTGAAATAAGAAGAATTAGTAAGATCAAGAGTATAATTATAATAATCAGTACAAATATTATAATCTGTATAATAAGCATAAACATTATAATTAATATATATAAGATAATGAATATAAGTAGTATAAGCAGTATATTACAAATAAAGTATATAACATGTTCTATATAAATAAAAGTATATAATAAAGGCTTCAACTCTTCAAAAACAGTTTAGTTAGTGCTTATCATAAATCTGCTTTCAATAATTTTACTATTTAATTATATTATAAAACCTACTATCATAAATACACTATTTTTCAAATCTAACTGCCTTTTATTGACTAAGCTATTTATAGATTACACAATATATACATTTGAGAAGCAACTAACTCACCATTTTATCTGTGTTAATACTTATCTAATTAGAGGTATCCATGATAATCTATCTGAAACATGTGTGCCCAGTCTCAAAAAAGCTATATAAAAATATACAAGCCTTTATGCAGGACCCCACTACCCCTTCTAATTAAAGTAAGATCAACTTGGACCAACCTGTTGCACTTAGAATGAATATTGACTTTATCTACCTTACTTGGGTTAGATATGAGATGATAACAAGAAGAGTGTGATTGAAGACAATATGATGAGTTCTGGCTCTGAGATATTGAAACTGAAACATTTTTCATCAGTTCTATAAAAGCTATAA